ATTGCTTGACTTGGAGAGTACTTTCTATGACTGTCATTAATTATGAAAACGGTTGTCAGCCACTATATCCAAAAGGCTAAGAGGATGCAACAATTGACACAGACGGGAAATTTAACATGAGTTTATTGAGACCAAAATTATGTCAATCACCACTTATAAATCCTACTCTAACACTGGCAAAAAAAAATTAAGAAATTTGGACATGGAACAAAACCTCAGAGACCACACACAGTACCTTAAAACCTCTGTCTCTCCCTTGCTGCATGTTCTTCACAGCCCTCTCTGGGCCCCGGTGTCCGGCACTCTGTTCTCACTAAGTCCCTACAGGACCTCTATATACAACCCCCACAGGGGGGAGGGGGGAGATCTGCTGTTGCTACCTACCCCAAGAATGTAAGAGATCGGCCACACGTGTACAAACACTCAAGAAATATTTCAATAAGCTTGTTTGACAGTCACTATACACTCTTCAAGAGAGGAGTCATTAATTACGTGTGTGACTGACCTCTGACCTGGCCAAAAGGGGGAGGTCCATGGATGTTTACACATAAGAATCTGGAGACTAATTCCCTTGCATGTTTGACAAGAGTATCATGAAATATTACATACTTGAAACTATGCTAAGACTAACCCAGGATTTTTTTTTTAATCAACATACAAGATAAACCGGAGGTCATCTGGGCTGACCTCTTGGAGAAGGCTTCCCTGGGTGTGAACTCTAAGGGATGGGGGGGTCATTCGTGTTACACCAGGAGACCAACAAGGTCCCAGGAGACCAACATGGTCCCAGGAGACCAACAAGGTCCCAGGAGACCAACAAGGTCCCAGGAGACCAACAAGGTCCCAGGAGACCAACAAGGTCCCAGGAGACCAACAAGGTCCCAGGAGACCAACAAGGTCCCAGGAGACCAACAAGGTCCCAGGAGACCAACAAGGTCCCAGGAGGCCATGAGAGGGAGCAGCTGGTGCAGCTTCCCATTCACACTATCAGACTTAATATTTATATGGGAGCATCGAGGCAGTAATTTATGCCCCGTCACACGCAGCGTGACGGGGCATATATTACCGTCACACGCAGCGTGACGGGGCATATATTACCGTCACACGCAGCGTGACGGGGCATATATTACCGTCACACGCAGCGTGACGGGACATATATTACCGTCACACGCAGCGTGACGGGGCATATATTACCGTCACACGCAGCGTGACGGGACATATATTACCGTCACACGCAGCGTGACGGGACATATATTACCGTCACACGCAGCGTGACGGGACATATATTACCGTCACACGCAGCGTGACGGGACATATATTACCGTCACACTCAGCGTGACGGGACATATATTACCGTCACACTCAGCGTGACGGGACATATATTACCGCCACACGCAGCGTGACGGTACATATATTACCGTCACACGCAGCGTGACGGTACATATATTACCGTCACACGCAGCGTGACGGTACATATATTACCGTCACACGCAGCGTGACGGTACATATATTACCGTCACACGCAGCGTGACGGGACATATATTACCGTCACACGCAGCGTGACGGTACATATATTACCGTCACACACTGCGTGACGCAAGGTGACGGGCAGCTAGGGAATAAATGCAAGAGTGATCTCAAGTCTGCTGTGTGATCATTAACGCAGACTGCAGTGCCTCTGCATTTATAAGTAGACCTTAATCAGCAGGATTATGATGTTGTAGTCTATCCTGGGAAGAAGAAGACGAGTCCCAAACGTGCAGGTCGGCGTTCAATCCCTGACCGTCCAGGCCCAATTCTGGCCTACGTGTAAATAGGCCAGAATTGGGATCATCTGGGCCCCGTCTCGTGCCACATCTAGGCCTACCTTGAGATGATTTCGGAGCTCAGCGTCCCCGCGGCCCGGTCATCGACCAGGTCTCGTCGTCGCGGGACTGTGATCAACTAGGCTGTCCGCAGCCTGACGATGCCAGCCTACAGCGATGACCCGCCTTCTTCAGCACTAGCATGGCCATTAAACCCCGTTATTGTGGATGTATAAGGAAAGTATAAGTCTAAGGGAAGATTGACAGGTGTCGTACCGGGGCATGATATGAATGATGTGAAGACACCCAAGGATACGAACCCGTCCTCTCAACCCCGTGCGGAGGATAGTTATAACGGAACCAAACAATCCCGATCACCCGGGCTGTGGTGGGTATGTGGTCCTGCGGGCCGCTCCAAGCAACAGCCTGGTGGACCAAACTCTCACAAGTCAAGCCTGGCCTCGGGCCGGGCTTGGGGAGTAGAACAACTCCCAGAACCCCATCAACCAGGTATATGTGGGCCTGCGGGCCGCTCCAAGCAACAGCCTGGTGGACCAAACTCTCACAAGTCAAGCCTGGCCTCGGGCCGGGCTTGGGGAGTAGAACAACTCCCAGAACCCCATCAACCAGGTATCAACCAGGTAATCCGTTAAAAATGCGACGCATTAGCCACAATTATAACACCGTAATATTAACCTTCCAGTAACCACCGGCCTGGGGGGGCCTGGGGGAGGCTGGGGGCGTCGCCTCCGTCCGCACGTTACTAGCAAGGCAAAAATATATTTTTGTTTGTTTAAGAGTGAGAGATTGAGAGAATGTTGTATATGAACATATTAGTCACAGAGAACCTCGTAATGAACCTGTTCTCTTCTCGTTCACATTCTTGCAAGAATGTGAACACATTATGAACAACAGATTCACAGCCGAAGGTGGAGAAACGTCTCGGTCCCTCCTAGATCATTATCAAGTCCTGTGTGAGGACGAGAGATTGATTGAAGAAGATTAAGCCACCCTAAAGGTGGCATGGGCATGAATAGCCCATAAAAATAGGAAGAGAGTTGTTGTTGTTTTAGATTTAGCTACTCAGAACGGAATGTCCATGCAGCACGGGATATGGTGAGCCCGCAATTGAGTTCGTTTATTCGCGATAACTTTGTTACTGTGATATTTGGGTCAAAGTTTTAAATGGAGGAGGTGGGGTTTCCTCCTTTTTCCCTGTTCCTTTTCCACTTCTGTTTTAGTGCACTGGTTTTAGTCTTTTTTTAATAACATTATCTTGGAGGTGGATGTAGGTGCAGAATGTTCACTAGTGAGTCCCATTCCTCAACGGCTTTTCTCATCATTGTAGTGGCTGTGGAATGTTCATCTAATGCAGCTGCTGTTGTTGGATTAATGTTGAGTTTGATGCGCAGGGCTTCAGTAGCTTCACATTCCAGTAAGTAGTGCAATAGTGGCGCCTCTGCTTCTGTGCCACAGGTATGACACTCTTTAACTATTGGGTTCATTACCTCCCAGCAGCACTTGTAACCAAGTCTGAGTCTGTGTATGGCTACTGCAATGTCTCTGGATATCTTTTTGTCAGGCTTGAAAGAGTAGTACCCAGTGGCTTGTTCGTACCATATCGCAGTGGATCTTCCTTCCGTTACTTTGGCTCTGTGGCCACTTTTGATAGTTGGGAATATTCTTGATTTGCTCCTTAATCTGTGAACAACTTGGAGGTATTTGAACCTGTACAACAGATAGAGCAGCGACAGGTTCTGGTAGTGAGTCTGACTCTTCATTACCATCTATGCCAGTGTGACTTGGTATCCAGTTTAGGGTGATTGACAGCCATAGATTATGGGCATCTTTTCCTATATGTTAGATATCTGTGAGGAGTTGTATATTATCTCTGTGTTGCCTGGATAACAATGCCTGGAGCGATGATTTAGAGTCGATGTGAAAGGAAGAGAGGAAGGAACAGCCAAAAAAAGGAGGTGAAGAGCACTTAAAAGAAGGTAATTCCTAGAAGAAGGTAAGAGAAAGGTGAAAGGTAAGAACAGGATGAAAGGTGCGAATGGGATAATGTAAGAATAAGAGGGTAAGAAAAACAAAAAAGGTTAGGCTTAAATCAGATTAATAAATATACTTCATAAAATAATATCCACACAACAGGTAGTGGGGTGGAGGACAGTCCCCACACAACAGGTAGTGGGGTGGAGGACAGTCCCCCACACAACAGGTAGTGGGGTGGAGGACAGTCCCCCACACAACAGGTAGTGGGGTGGAGGACAGTCCCCCACACAACAGGTAGTGGGGTGGAGGACAGTCCCCCACACAACAGGTAGTGGGGTAGAGGACAGTCCCCACACAACAGGTAGTGGGGTAGAGGACAGTCCCCCACACAACAGGTAGTGGGGTAGAGGACAGTCCCCCACACAACAGGTAGTGGGGTAGAGGACAGTCCCCCACACAACAGGTAGTGGGGTAGAGGACAGTCCCCACACAACAGGTAGTGGGGTGGAGGACAGTCCCCACACAACAGGTAGTGGGGTGGAGGACAGTCCCCCACACAACAGGTAGTGGGGTGGAGGACAGTCCCCCACACAACAGGTAGCGGGGTGGAGGACAGTCCCCCACGCAACAGGTAGTGGGGTAGAGGACAGTCCCCACACAACAGGTAGTGGGGTGGAGGACAGTCCCCACGCAACAGGTAGTGGGGTGGAGGACAGTCCCCCACACAACAGGTAGCGGGGTGGAGGACAGGTCCTGGGCGGGTCCTAACAGTAGCCAACCACAGGTGTAGGGCCCGCGGCGCCAACCACAGGTGTAGGGCCCGCGGCGCCAACCACAGGTGTAGGGCCCGCGGCGCCAACCACAGGTGTAGGGCCCGCGGCGCCAACCACAGGTGTAGGGCCCGCGGCGCCAACCATCACCTGTCTTCTCTCCTAACAAGAAAACTGCCTTAGCGTGTTGACTAACGACTGGCCGAAATAGACCGACATTACCCTCACCTTTTCCTAGATCCATCTTCCTGTAATTTACCCTACACCCTGTTATCTTCACCCTTGTATGTTATCTACAAACTTCTTTTTTTCTACAGGTGTTGCTCGTGGTCTGATAGCAATAACCGGGAATGAGTATATGTTTAGAGTACAGTACTGTTATCAGGCATCCAGACGGCATCACTATTCAACAAGATGACGGAACTTATCTCTAGTCATCACTCTCATCTCTTGCAGCTGGGAGCTTGTTCAGTGGTTCAACAGCTGGGAGCTTGTTCAGTGGTTCAACTGCTGGGAGCTTGTTCAGTGGTTCAACAATTGGGAGCTTGTTCAGTGGTTCAACTGCTGGGAGCTTGTTCAGTGGTTCAACAGCTGGGAGCTTGTTCAGTGGTTCAACAGCTGGGAACTTGTTCAGTGGTTCTACAGCTGGGAGCTTGTTCAGTGGTTCATCAGCTGGGAACTTGTTCAGTGGTTCAACAGCTGGGAGCTTGTTCAGTGGTTCAACAGCTGGGAACTTGTTCAGTGGTTCAACAGCTGGGAGCTTGTTCAGTGGTTCAACAGCTGGGAGCTTGTTCAGTGGTTCAACAGCTGGGAGCTTGTTCAGTGGTTCAACAGCTGGGAACTTGTTCAGTGGTTCAACAGCTGGGAGCTTGTTCAGTGGTTCAACAGCTGGGAGCTTGTTCAGTGGTTCAACAGCTGGGAGCTTGTTCAGTGGTTCAACAGCTGGGAACTTGTTCAGTGGTTCAACAGCTGGGAGCTTGTTCAGTGGTTCAACAGCTGGGAACTTGTTCAGTGGTTCAACAGCTGGGAACTTGTTCAGTGGTTCAACAGCTGGGAACTTGTTCAGTGGTTCAACAGCTGGGAACTTGTTCAGTGGTTCAACAGCTGGGAACTTGTTCAGTGGTTCAACAGCTGGGAACTTGTTCAGTGGTTCAACAGCTGGGAACTTGTTCAGTGGTTCAACAGCTGGGAACTTGTTCAGTGGTTCAACAGCTGGGAACTTGTTCAGTGGTTCAACAGCTGGGAACTTGTTCAGTGGTTCAACAGCTGGGAACTTGTTCAGTGGTTCAACAGCTGGGAGCTTGTTCAGTGGTTCAACAGCTGGGAACTTGTTCAGTGGTTCAACAGCTGGGAACTTGTTCAGTGGTTCAACAGCTGGGAACTTGTTCAGTGGTTCAACAGCTGGGAGCTTGTTCAGTGGTTCAACAGCTGGGAGCTTGTTCAGTGGTTCAACAGCTGGGAACTTGTTCAGTGGTTCAACAGCTGGGAACTTGTTCAGTGGTTCAATAACTGGGAACTTGTTCAGTGGTTCAACAACTGGGAACTTGTTCAGAGGTTCAACAGCTGGGAACTTGTTCAGTGGTTCAACAGCTGGGAACTTGTTCAGTGGTTCAACAACTGGGAACTTGTTCAGTGGTTCAACAGCTGGGAACTTGTTCAGTGGTTCAACAGCTGGGAGCTTGTTCAGTGGTTCAACAACTGGGAACTTGTTCAGTGGTTCAACAGCTGGGAGCTTGTTCAGTGGTTCAACAACTGGGAACTTGTTCAGTGGTTCAACAGCTGGGAACTTGTTCAGTGGTTCAACAGCTGGGAACTTGTTCAGTGGTTCAACAGCTGGGAACTTGTTCAGTGGTTCAACAGCTGGGAACTTGTTCAGTGGTTCAACAGCTGGGAACTTGTTCAGTGGTTCAACAGCTGGGAACTTGTTCAGTGGTTCAACAGCTGGGAACTTGTTCAGTGGTTCAACAGCTGGGAACTTGTTCAGTGGTTCAACAGCTGGGAACTTGTTCAGTGGTTCAACAGCTGGGAGCTTGTTCAGTGGTTCAACAGCTGGGAGCTTGTTCAGTGGTTCAACAGCTGGGAGCTTGTTCAGTGGTTCAACAGCTGGGAACTTGTTCAGTGGTTCAACAGCTGGGAGCTTGTTCAGTGGTTCAACAGCTGGGAGCTTGTTCAGTGGTTCAACAGCTGGGAGCTTGTTCAGTGGTTCAACAGCTGGGAGCTTGTTCAGTGGTTCAACAGCTGGGAGCTTGTTCAGTGGTTCAACAACTGGGAACTTGTTCAGTGGTTCAACAACTGGGAACTTGTTCAGTGGTTCAACAGCTGGGAACTTGTTCAGTGGTTCAACAGCTGGGAACTTGTTCAGTGGTTCAACAACTGGGAACTTGTTCAGTGGTTCAACAACTGGGAACTTGTTCAGTGGTTCAACAGCTGGGAACTTGTTCAGTGGTTCAACAGCTGGGAACTTGTTCAGTGGTTCAACAGCTGGGAACTTGTTCAGTGGTTCAACAGCTGGGAACTTGTTCAGTGGTTCAACAGCTGGGAGCTTGTTCAGTGGTTCAACAGCTGGGAGCTTGTTCAGTGGTTCAACAGCTGGGAGCTTGTTCAGTGGTTCAACAGCTGGGAGCTTGTTCAGTGGTTCAACAGCTGGGAACTTGTTCAGTGGTTCAACAGCTGGGAGCTTGTTCAGTGGTTCAACAGCTGGGAGCTTGTTCAGTGGTTCAACAGCTGGGAGCTTGTTCAGTGGTTCAACAGCTGGGAGCTTGTTCAGTGGTTCAACAGCTGGGAGCTTGTTCAGTGGTTCAACAACTGGGAACTTGTTCAGTGGTTCAACAACTGGGAACTTGTTCAGTGGTTCAACAGCTGGGAACTTGTTCAGTGGTTCAACAGCTGGGAACTTGTTCAGTGGTTCAACAGCTGGGAGCTTGTTCAGTGGTTCAACAGCTGGGAGCTTGTTCAGTGGTTCAACAGCTGGGAGCTTGTTCAGTGGTTCAACAGCTGGGAGCTTGTTCAGTGGTTCAACAACTGAGAACTTGTTCAGTGGTTCAACAACTGGGAACTTGTTCAGTGGTTCAACAGCTGGGAACTTGTTCAGTGGTTCAACAGCTGGGAACTTGTTCAGTGGTTCAACAGCTGGGAACTTGTTCAGTGGTTCAACAGCTGGGAACTTGTTCAGTGGTTCAACAGCTGGGAGCTTGTTCAGTGGTTCAACAGCTGGGAACTTGTTCAGTGGTTCAACAGCTGGGAACTTGTTCAGTGGTTCAACAGCTGGGAACTTGTTCAGTGCTTCAACAGCTGGGAACTTGTTCAGTGGTTCAACAGCTGGGAACTTGTTCAGTGGTTCAACAGCTGGGAGCTTGTTCAGTGGTTCAACAGCTGGGAACTTGTTCAGTGGTTCAACAGCTGGGAACTTGTTCAGTGGTTCAACAGCTGGGAGCTTGTTCAGTGGTTCAACAGCTGGGAACTTGTTCAGTGGTTCAACAGCTGGGAACTTGTTCAGTGGTTCAACAGCTGGGAGCTTGTTCAGTGGTTCAACAGCTGGGAACTTGTTCAGTGGTTCAACAGCTGGGAACTTGTTCAGTGGTTCAACAGCTGGGAACTTGTTCAGTGGTTCAACAGCTGGGAGCTTGTTCAGTGGTTCAACAGCTGGGAGCTTGTTCAGTGGTTCAACAGCTGGGAACTTGTTCAGTGGTTCAACAGCTGGGAACTTGTTCAGAGGTTCAACAGCTGGGAACTTGTTTAGTGGTTCAACAGCTGGGAACTTGTTCAGTGGTTCAACAGCTGGGAGCTTGTTCAGTGGTTCAACAGCTGGGAACTTGTTCAGTGGTTCAACAGCTGGGAACTTGTTCAGAGGTTCAACAGCTGGGAACTTGTTCACCAAAATATAAACATAAAATAATATACCTTTCAGTACAAGTTCGTGATAAGATACGGTAGTGCAGTTGAATTCGTTCTCGAATCGGGAATCCCGAGTTCGAATCCCGAGGGGGAACAGAAGTGGTTGGGCACGTTTGGTTTCCCTAATGCCTCCCCCCCCCCCCCCCGTTCCTCTAGCAATAGTACCTGGTTAACTATTGTGGAGTTGCACTCGGGGGGGGGGGTGTTAAAATAGTTCCACTTTGGGGGGGGAGAGACCCCAGTATAAGCCTAACTTATATATGTACAGGCTGCCTGTCCCCGCGGGTGAACTGAAGCGACTAACCCCTGATAGGGTCAAGGGTCTTTTTCTTACCCTATTCTTACATTTCTCTTATCTGCGCCTGACAGCTGGGTGGACAGCGCTTCGGATTCGTAGTCCTGAGGTTACGGGTTCGATCCCCGGTGGAGGCGAGGACAAATGAGCAAAATGTTTCTTTCACCCTGATGCCCCTGTTACCTAGCAGTAAAATAGGTACCTGGGAGTTAGTCAGCCGTCACGGGCGGCTTCCTGGGGGGTGGAGACCTGGTCGAGGACCGGGCCGCGGGGGACACTAAGCCCCGAAATCATCTCAAGATAACCTTCCTCTCTTCTGCTACACGACCTGATAATGGTCCAAGAAAGACCGTAAGGCACATCTTAAAGACACATCTATTTTTAAATAATAATAATGTAAAGGAAAAGAGATAATAATAAGAGCATTAGACTAAGAGAGCGCAGGGTCCCAGGAGGTGAAGCTCAACCCTGCACGCACACCTACACCACCGCACACTCCATATACCCACACATCAGCCCTCAGCAAGGCGGTTATAGCCGTTAGAGGTAAGTTAACACAAGAGTGGGCAGGGGCCGGGGGCAGTGTTGACCAAGGCTGCCCACCACTTGTACACCGCCCACGGGATGGGTATGGGCTGCCCACCACTTGTACACCGCCCACGAGATGGGTATGGGCTGCCCATCACTTGTACACCGCCCACGGGATGGGTATGGGCTGCCCACCACTTGTACACCGCCCACGGGATGGGTATGGGCTGCCCACCACTTGTACACCGCCCACGGGATGGGTATGGGCTGCCCACCACTTGTACATCGCCCACGGGATGGGTATGGGCTGCCCACCACTTGTACACCGTCCACGGGATGGGTATGGACTGCCCACCACTTGTACACCGCCCACGGGATGGGTATGGGCTGCCCACCACTTGTACACCGTCCACGGGATGGATATGGGCTGCCCACCACTTGTACACCGCCCACGGGATGGGTATGAGCTGCCCACCACTTGTACACCGCCCACGGGATGGGTATGGGCTGCCCACCACTTGTACATCGCCCACGGGATGGGTATGGGCTGCCCACCACTTGTACATCGCCCACGGGATGGGTATATGCTGCCCACCACTTGTACACCGTCCACGGGATGGGTATGGGCTGCCCACCACTTGTACACCGCCCACGGGATGGGTATGGGCTGCCCACCACTTGTACACCGCCCACGGGATGGGTATGAGCTGCCCATCACTTGTACACCGTCCACGGGATGGGTATGGGCTGCCCACCACTTGTACACCGCCCACGGGATGGGTATGAGCTGTCCACCACTTGTACACCGCCCACGGGATGGGTATGGGCTGCCCACCACTTGTACACCGCCCACGGGATGGGTATGGGCTGCCCACCACTTGTACACCGTCCACGGGATGGGTATGGGCTGCCCACCACTTGTACACCGCCCACGGGATGGGTATGGGCTGCCCACCACTTGTACACCGCCCACGGGATGGGTATGGGCTGCCCACCACTTGTACACCGCCCACGGGATGGGTATGGGCTGCCCACCACTTGTACACCGCCCACGGGATGGGTATGGGCTGCCCACCACTTGTACACCGCCCACGGGATGGGTATGGGCTGCCCACCACTTGTACACCGCCCACGGGATGGGTATGGGCTGCCCACCACTTGTACACCGCCCACGGGATGGGTATGCAACAGGGTACGAGGATTTCCCTACATTTCCAGCTTCCGTCAATGTCATGTCTTACATCTCGCATTGAAAACACTATCCTAGTCTGCCATGTCTTATCGTCGGAATCTCTGAAGTAGTGATCATGTCACCTTTCTTCTAGCTTCTTAATTCTAGTAATAATCTAATTACAAACCTCTGCACTTTCTCAAGTCAAACTATCGTGCCTCACAAGTCAGGCCATCCATGCCTGTGCGGTGTACTGGCCTCGTTATCTTATCTTAGGTTATCTTAGTACCTATAGTACCTTAGTGTGCCTCGTACACACTCTTGTATTTACCTAATATAATTATTCTAAGCCTACTATTTTTATTGATAATAAAAACCTCATTATAATTATTTTAAATACTAAATTATTAATCAAAAGTCTGATATTATTGATCAAGATACATATGAACACATCGTGGTTCAGTCGGTATGTGTCTGAGGAGACTAGAGATGAGGGTTCGATCCCATTACACGGCTGCAATATCATCTTATAACACATTGACCAGAAGGGACCAGAGCCTCCGGTACGAGACAGTACTCGGAGCCGTCCCGCCAAGAACCTGTTTGTACTGGTGGAGGTGATTGGGCAGGTGGCCTTCCCTGCTACGGTGACGCCGCCAGGCACACAGTACTGGGGAGGGAGGGGGAGAGAGTACTGGGGGAGGGAGGGGGAGAGAGTACTGGGGGAGGGAGGGGGAGAGAGTACTGGGGGAGGGAGGGGGAGAGAGTACTGGGGGAGGGAGGGGGAGAGAGTACTGGGGGAGGGAGGGGGAGAGAGTACTGGGGGAGGGAGGGGGAGAGAGTACTGGGGGAGGGAGGGGGAGAGAGTACTGGGGGAGGGAGGGGGAGAGAGTACTGGGGGAGGGAGGGGGAGAGAGTACTGGGGGAGGGAGGGGGAGAGAGTACTGGGGGAGGGAGGGGGAGAGAGTACTGGGGGAGGGAGGGGGAGAGAGTACTGGGGGAGGGAGGTAGTGAACGGGAAGAGGGGGGGAGAAGGGTGATAAACGAGGAGAGGGCACGAAAGATAGGAAAGAGAAGAGAGGGCGAGATGGAGGAAGGAGAATCTTCTCATTACGTTAGGAGCTCTGAGAGCCTCAATTAGAGGTGTGGCGGGGTAGCAGGCTGCACCCTCCACCACCACCACCACCACACGCACCTTGTAAACACCCCACACTCAACACCACACCTCAACCTCTTCACAACCTCTTCACAACCACTACTCAACCTCTTCACAACCACTCCTCAACCTCTTCACAACCTCTCCTCAACCTCTTCACAACCACTCCTCAACCTCTTCACAACCACTCCTCAACCTCTTCACAACCTCTTCACAACCACTACTCAACCTCTTCACAACCACTCCTCAACCTCTTCACAACCTCTTCACAACCACTCCTCAACCTCTTCACAACCACTCCTCAACCTCTTCACAACCTCTTCACAACCTCTTCACAACCCTTCACAACCTCTTCACAACCCTCACAACCTCTTCACAACCTCTTCACAACCTCTTCACAACCTCTTCACAACCCTCACAACCTCTTCACAACCCTTCACAACCTCTTCACAACCTCTTCACAACCTCTTCACAACCTCTTCACAACCACTCCTCAACCTCTTCACAACCTCTCCTCAACCTCTTCACAACCACTCCTCAACCTCTTCACAACCACTCCTCAACCTCTTCACAACCTCTTCACAACCACTACTCAACCTCTTCACAACCTCTCCTCAACCTCTTCACAACCACTCCTCAACCTCTTCACAACCACTCCTCAACCTCTTCACAACCTCTTCACAACCACTACTCAACCTCTTCACAACCACTCCTCAACCTCTTCACAACCTCTCCTCAACCTCTTCACAACCACTCCTCAACCTCTTCACAACCACTCCTCAACCTCTTCACAACCTCTCCTCAACCTCTTCACAACCACTCCTCAACCTCTTCACAACCACTCCTCAACCTCTTCACAACCACTACTCAACCTCTTCACAACCACTCCTCAACCTCTTCACAACCACTCCACAACCTCTTCACAACCACTACTCAACCTCTTCACAACCACTCCTCAACCTCTTCACAACCACTACTCAACCTCTTCACAACCACTCCACAACCTCTTCACAACCACTACTCAACCTCTTCACAACCTCTCCTCAACCTCTTCACAACCACTACTCAACCTCTTCACAACCTCTCCTCAACCTCTTCACAACCACTACTCAACCTCTTCACAACCACTCCTCAACCTCTTCACAACCACTCCTCAACCTCTTCACAACCACTACTCAACCTCTTCACAACCTCTCCTCAACCTCTTCACAACCACTACTCAACCTCTTCACAACCTCTCCTCAACCTCTTCACAACCACTACTCAACCTCTTCACAACCACTCACAACCACTCCTCAACCTCTTCACAACCACTACTCAACCTCTTCACAACCTCTCCTCAACCTCTTCACAACCACTACTCAACCTCTTCACAACCTCTCCTCAACCTCTTCACAACCACTACTCAACCTCTTCACAACCACTCCTCAACCTCTTCACAACCACTCCTCAACCTCTTCACAACCACTACTCAACCTCTTCACAACCTCTCCTCAACCTCTTCACAACCACTACTCAACCTCTTCACAACCTCTCCTCAACCTCTTCACAACCACTACTCAACCTCTTCACAACCACTCCTCAACCTCTTCACAACCACTCCTCAACCTCTTCACAACCACTCCTCAACCTCTTCACAACCACTCCTCAACCTCTTCACAACCACTCCTCAACCTCTTCACAACCACTCCTCAACCTCTTCACAACCACTACTCAACCTCTTCACAACCTCTCCTCAGCCTCTTCACAACCTCTTCACAACCACTCCTCAACCTCTTCACAACCACTCCTCAACCTCTTCACAACCACTCCTCAACCTCTTCACAACCACTCCTCAACCTCTTCACAACCACTCCTCAACCTCTTCACAACCACTCCTCAACCTCTTCACAACCACTCCTCAACCTCTTCACAACCACTCCTCAACCTCTTCACAACCACTCCTCAACCTCTTCACAACCACTCCTCAACCTCTTCACAACCACTCCTCAACCTCTTCACAACCACTCCTCAACCTCTTCACAACCACTACTCAACCTCTTCACAACCTCTCCTCAACCTCTTCACAACCACTACTCAACCTCTTCACAACCTCTCCTCAACCTCTTCACAACCACTACTCAACCTCTTCACAACCACTCCTCAACCTCTTCACAACCACTCCTCAACCTCTTCACAACCACTCCTCAACCTCTTCACAACCACTCCTCAACCTCTTCACAACCACTCCTCAACCTCTTCACAACCACTCCTCAACCTCTTCACAACCACTCCTCAACCTCTTCACAACCACTACTCAACCTCTTCACAACCTCTCCTCAGCCTCTTCACAACCTCTTCACAACCACTCCTCAACCTCTTCACAACCACTCCTCAACCTCTTCACAACCACTCCTCAACCTCTTCACAACCACTCCTCAACCTCTTCACAACCACTCCTCAACCTCTTCACAACCACTCCTCAACCTCTTCACAACCACTCCTCAACCTCTTCACAACCACTCCTCAACCTCTTCACAACCACTACTCAACCTCTTCACAACCTCTCCTCAGCCTCTTCACAACCTCTTCACAACCACTCCTCAGCCTCTTCACAACCTCTTCACAACCACTCCTCAACCTCTTCACAACCTCTTCACAACCACTCCTCAACCTCTTTACAACCACTCCACAACCTCTTCACAACCACTACTCAACCTCTTCACAACCACTCCACAACCTCTTCACAACCACTCCACAACCTCTTCACAACCACTCCACAACCTCTTCACAACCACTCCACAACCTCTTCACAACCACTCCTCAACCTCTTAATTCACAACCTCTTCACAACCTCGCCTACAAGTATCGACACAAACACTGCTGCACTTGCTCCTGGTATGTCTAGTGATAAGAGAGATAATGATAACAAAAGTATAGTGAAGTAGCAGCCGGTGTGCAGAGGAGATAAGAGTGCCCGGGGCACGTGGGCCCACAGTGTGAGGCGCCGCCGTGGTGTAGGTAGCCCCGGGCACGCGGGCCCACCACCACCACACAGTCTGAGGCGCCGCCGAGGTGTAGGTAGCCCCGGGCACGCGGGCCCACCACCACCACACAGTCTGAGGCGCCGCCGTGGTGTAGGTAGCCCCGGGCACGCGGGCCCACCACCACCACACAGTCTGAGGCGCCGCCGAGGTGTAGGTAGCCCCGGGCACGCGGGCCCACCACCACCACACAGTCTGAGGCGCCGGCGAGGTGTAGGTAGCCCCGGGCACGCGGGCCCACCACCACCACACAGTCTGAGGCGCCGCCGAGGTGTAGGTAGCCCCGGGCACGCGGGCCCACCACCACCACACAGTCTGAGGCGCCGCCGTGGTGTAGGTAGCCCCGGGCACGCGGGCCCACCACCACCACACAGTCTGAGGCGCCGCCGTGGTGTAGGTAGCCCCGGGCACGCGGGCCCACCACCACCACACAGTCTGAGGCGCCGCCGTGGTGTAGGTAGCCCCGGGCACGCGGGCCCACCACCACCACACAGTCTGAGGCGCCGCCGTGGTGTAGGTAGCCCCGGGCACGCGGGCCCACCACCACACAGTCTGAGGCGCCGCCGTGGTGTAGGTAGCCCCGGGCACGCGGGCCCACCACGCAGTCTGAGGCGCCGCCGTGGTGTAGGTAGCCCCAGGCACGCGGGCCCACCACCACACAGTCTGAGGCGCCTCCGTGGTGTAGGTAGCCCCGGGCACGCGGGCCCACCACCACCACACAGTCTGAGGCGCCGCCGAGGTGTAGGTAGCCCCGGGCACGCGGGCCCACCACCACACAGTCTGAGGCGCCGCCGAGGTGTAGGTAGCCCCGGGCACGCGGGCCCACCACCACACAGTCTGAGGCGCCGCCGAGGTGTAGGTAGCCCCGGGCACGCGGGCCCACCACCACACAGTCCGAGGCGCCGCCGAGGTGTAGGTAGCCCCGGGCACGCGGGCCCACCACCACCACACAGTCTGAGGCGCCGCCGAGGTGTAGGTAGCCCCGGGCACGCGGGCCCACCACACAGTCTGAGGCGCCGCCGTGGTGTAGGTAGCCCCGGGCACGCGGGCCCACCACCACCACACAGTCTGAGGCGCCGCCGTGGTGTAGGTAGCCCCGGGCACGCGGGCCCACCACCACACAGTCTGAGGCGCCGCCGAGGTGTAGGTAGCCCCGGGCACGCGGGCCCACCACACAGTCTGAGGCGCCGCCGTGGTGTAGGTAGCCCCGGGCACGCGGGCCCACCACCACCACACAGTCTGAGGCGCCGCCGTGGTGTAGGTAGCCCCGGGCACGCGGGCCCACCACCACACAGTCTGAGGCGCCGCCGAGGTGTAGGTAGCCCCGGGCACGCGGGCCCACCACCACACAGTCTGAGGCGCCGCCGTGGTGTAGGTAGCCCCGGGCACCTCTTGCCTTATGAGTCACCTGCACCAACGGGTCCAGCGTGTACCTGCGCCTCACACTATCACTCACCCCAGCCAACCACCACCTCATAATCTCACACATTGTGCTTCTCTCTAAACTTTCACCCCGCTCGCCAAACATGTCTTGTGACGGTGTTAAAGTAGTCATCCTCTGGAGAATGTGCCTCCAAAATGAGTGACTTTGAAGCATGTAAACAAATATTAAATGATACGGAAAAGACGAGGGCGGTTGAGTACTGGAGATGTAGGGGGCTAGTGCGCATGCCCCGCCTCCAGGGGGCCCGGGAAGGAGCATAAGAGTAGCGGGCAGCGGTGGACGGGCCCCGGGGGGGACAGAGCGACCATGTCGACCTGCTCCTTCTGTCTCTTTAAATCTACGATACTGATATGTCACCTGGGATGTTATCTAGACACTCCTGTCACCTCTGGTGTCGCTTTAATGACCTGATCTTCCACATTGTGTCAAGTATACTAGTTCAAAGCCCAATGTCTGAATACTCGTAGACTTTTATCGATCCTTAAGAACTAAGCTTTTACCACATTAAAAACAATATTATATAGAAACACTAAGTCTTCTCGAGTGCCTCGAGTGTACCGTGGGGTGTATCCTGCAGCCTGTGCACCAAAGGTTTCCCATCATCAGGAAAATGTCGTACTAAAGTACCTTATCCTAACCTACCAGAGGACCTAGCAACAGAAAACGGGACATATAGTATCCTTATTTCGCGATCCGCTATTTTTCTAATACGACGAATTTTGGCCTTAGGTAGAGTATACGTCAAAATGCGACGTTCTATTAGGAGGACGGGTGTATTCCGAGTCTATTGTTAACTGTAGAATTCAAAATCAGAATTGCGACCAGATTCACGAAGCAGTTACGCAAGCACTTACGAACCTATACATCTTTTCTCAATCTTTAGCGGCTTTGTTTACAATTATTAAACAGTTAATGGGCCCCGAAGCACCAGGAGGCTGTTTATAACAATAACAACAGTTATTTGACAAGTTTTCACGCTTGTAAACTGTTTAATAAATGTAACCAATGCCGTCAAAGATTGAGGAAAGATGTACAGGTTTCGTGACTGCTTGCGTAACTGCTTCGTGAATCTGGCCCCAGGTCGTCACTCACTGCTGCGCTTGTGCATGTAAATGTGCGCGTGCTGATGTGCGCTGGCCGTCACGGGAGCACCAATGGCTGTGTGGGACTGTTGTCTCATAACTCACCAACCCATAATGGTGGCAGAGCCAGATGCATGGCTCACTCCTGTGCAGGAAGCCTTCCCGTGGTGGCTCACTCCTGTGCAGGAAGCCTTCCCGTGGTGGCTCACTCCTGTGCAGGAAGCCTTCCCGTGGTGGCTCACTCCTGTGCAGGAAGCCTTCCCGTGGTGGCTCACTCCTGTGCAGGAAGCCTTCCCGTGGTGGCTCACTCCTGTGCAGGAAGCCTTCCCGTGGTGGCTCACTCCTGTGCAGGAAGCCTTCCCGTGGTGGCTCACTCCTGTGCAGGAAGCCTTCCCGTGGTGGCTCACTCCTGTGCAGGAAGCCTTCCCGTGGTGGCTCACTCCTGTGCAGGAAGCCTTCCCGTGGTGGCTCACTCCTGTGCAGGAAGCCTTCCCGTGGTGACTCACTCCTGTGCAGGAAGCCTTCCCGTGGTGGCTCACTCCTGTGCAGGAAGCCTTCCCGTGGTGGCTCCTGTGCAGGAAGCCTTCCCGTGGTGGCTCCTGTGCAGGAAGCCTTCCCGTGGTGGCTCCTGTGCAGGAAGCCTTCCCGTGACCCAGACTCTAAGACAGGTGACCTCAGAGCACAGGTGCCACCAACGCCCTGCTACTGTTAACTGTACTTGGCTATCTTCAATGGATTAGTTATTTCTAAGATAGCATAAATGAGAGAGGACGATTGGGTTCCAACGGCTTTAACAGCTAAGGAAACGGTTAGATTTTGCGAAATACAGTGAAAAGACAGTGATAGCACTCGCTCACGCAGGCCAGTGATTTCAACCAGCTTCGATCACTGGCCAGGTCGTTTGGGCACCAATTCATAACTGTTGGCCTCTATTCACCCAGTTGTAATCGGAAACTTAGTTGTAAACCTTTTGTCGTATCATGTTCTAGGGAAAACTAATAGGTGTATGGGAATGCTCTCGACGTGCTCACGGGAGTCTACATCGTCTACTCCTGTGCTCACGGGAGTCTACATCGTCTACTTCTGTGCTCACGGGAGTCTACATCGTCTACTCCTGTGCTCACGGGAGTCTACATCGTCTACTCCTGTGCTCACGGGAGTCTACATCGTCTACTCCTGTGCTCACGGGAGTCTACATCGTCTACTCCTGTGCTCACGGGAGTCTACATCGTCTACTCCTGTGCTCACGGGAGTCTACATCGTCTACTCCTGTGCTCACGGGAGTCTACATCGTCTACTCCTGTGCTCACGGGAGTCTACATCGTCTACTCCTGTGCTCACGGGAGTCTACATCGTCTACTCCTGTGCTCACGGGAGTCTACATCGTCTACTCCTGTGCTCACGGGAGTCTACATCGTCTACTCCTGTGCTCACGGGAGTCTACATCGTCTACTCCTGTGCTCACGGGAGTCTACATCGTCTACTCCTGTGCTCACGGGAGTCTACATCGTCTACTCCTGTGCTCACGGGAGTCTACATCGTCTACTCCTGTGCTCACGGGAGTCTACATCGTCTACTCCTGTGCTCACGGGAGTCTACATCGTCTACTCCTGTGCTCACGGGAGTCTACATCGTCTACTCCTGTGCTCACGGGAGTCTACATCGTCTACTCCTGTGCTCACGGGAGTCTACATCGTCTACTCCTGTGCTCACGGGAGTCTACATCGTCTACTCCTGTGCTCACGGGAGTCTACATCGTCTACTCCTGTGCTCACGGGAGTCTACATCGTCTACTCCTGTGCTCACGGAAGTCTACATCGTCTACTCCTGTGCTCACGGGAGTCTACATCGTCTACTCCTGTGCTCACGGGAGTCTACATCGTCTACTCCTGTGCTCACGGGAGTCTACATCGTCTACTCCTGTGCTCACGGGAGTCTACATCGTCTACTCCTGTGCTCACGGGAGTCTACATCGTCTACTCCTGTGCTCACGGGAGTCTACATCGTCTACTCCTGTGCTCACGGGAGTCTACATCGTCTACTCCTGTACTCACGGGAGTCTACATCGTCTACTCCTGTACCATCTTGTTTATTACACACACGAACACGGGGTGGAGGATAGTTGTTGAAGGAGAGTCCAGCTTCCTGGTAGGAGAGTCGAGCTTCCTGGTAGGAGAGTCCAGCTTCCTGGTAGGAGAGTTGAGCTTCCTGGTAGGAGAGTCGAGCTTCCTGGTAGGAGAGTTGACCTTCCTGGTAGGAGAGTTGAGCTTCCTGGTAGGAGAGTCCAGCTTCCTGGTAGGAGAGTCCAGCTTCCTGGTAGGAGAGTTGAGCTTCCTGGTGGGAGAGTTGAGCTTCCTGGTGGGAGAGTTGAGCTTCCT